TCACATGCTTAATTCATTTTAAAAGCTCTTTTCTCATATTTATTTCATTATACTTCTAATTTATCAACTAAGAAATGAACAAGATAATTACATACATATCCCCTAAAATTTATGAATTTGCCAAAATAACTTCCATGTCTTTCTTTTTTTCCTTTTTTTTCAAACTATCAAATCATGTATTTACTGATATTTTAGTGATAATTTTAAAAATGAATTGAAGAATATGATAATTTTGCAAATAACAATATTTCAAAAACTTAGTACAAAAATATAATGCAAAATAGCTTAATTTAAATATGTTCAAATTAAATTATTATTTACAAAGCTGTCCATAGAGAAGCAAATTTCTTGTACTATTGAATATGTTCGTATGTTTTGTGAAATTTATGTTAAACATTATTTACAACAGTGAAAGTCACATGCAACTATTTATTTATTTTTTTGCAGATAACATAATGTACTCCGTAGCGTTCGATCTCTGTCTGACCAATTACAGAACAAAATTCCTAATATTTATATTTATAAAGGTGAAATAGATTTTTGATCCCGTGGGCATCAAATATTGATTCCCCTAAAGGGTTGAAAACCCTGGTGTGTTTGCTCGTGATTTGAAGAGCCCGCGTCACGGGATTCGAACCCCCGACCCGAGCGACTTACGCTCCCCCCCTCCCCCCCAGCACACGCGCACACACACACCACACACCACACACACACACATAATATAATATAATATAATAATACTAATGAGGAAAATAAGGGATGTCAATTCGGGTCAGCGGGTCGTGTTTAAGTCTGACCCAAATCGGGCAATGAAATCCGATTTGAATAATAAATGGGTCCAAAAACTCAACCCAAACCCGACTCCACCCTGACACGAGTAACCTGAACCTGACACGTTTAACATGTCAGCTCAATTTTTCTTCTAATATTTAACAAACAATGATAGGAAAATCAAAAGAAATTTTTATTTATATACAATCAATAGTGTAAGACACACTTAACCCAATCCTTTTTTTCATGTTTATTCAGGCCATGTTCAGAAATTCTTACGTGTTGAATTCTCAGATTGGAACTTTGACTTGACAAATGTTCGGGTTTTCCCGAACCTGAATTTTTCGAGTTGAGTTTGAGTCGTGTTGACATAGGAGTTCAATTTTTGACACCCCCAAGGTAAATCTACTGGAATGAATTTGGTGCATTTCATACTCTAGACAATAAAAGCATTTCTTGTTCTTCAAATTTCATAATATCAGTTTTAATTTGTAACAGTTAGAAAGAACTGTTGACTATAAAACTCTTTCTCTCTCTTTCTATATTCCTTCTACACTACTCCTCCCCTTTGCTCTCCATTCCCTTCTCAATTCTTCTTCTCAAACAGCTTTTACTTTGATTTTTTTCCTTTTTTTTTCCACATCAACAGATAAGTCCAAGATTTAGTTGTCTTTGAAATCATCTTCAAATCTCAGTTTCTTCTACTCAGTTTTCAGTATCTGCAGTTTGGAAGGAGCAGCTTCCCAAAGGTAATTACTTCATTTCATCTTCTAGAGAGAGAGAGAGAGAGATAGAGAGAGAGAGAGAGAGTTTGTGTGTGTGTGTGTGAGAGAGAGAGAGGGGTATCTGTGGTTGTATTTTGGTTGTCAGAGATTTGTGGAGACAAGAAAAAAACTTATGAGATGCTAGAAGTATTCAGGAAGCAACTAGAGAGAGCTTGGCATGAGCATGAAACTCTAATGCAACGTTTGGTTGTAATATGGATTTACGTTAAATTAGATTTATCAAATCCAGTAAATCTGATCGTTGTGTTGACGGACACAAGCCGGATGAGTGACGGTAGAAAAAAATTCATAGTTATCCTCTCAATCGGATTTATTAAATCTGAATTTACGTTGCAGAAGAGATGAAATATAAAAATTTTTCATTTAAACGAAGCATTGATTTTAATTTTCAAATTTTTTGATCTTCTTTATGTTTAGATGATAGCTTGTGATGAATTACTACAAAACATATATAGCAGCAGCAAAATGAATTTCATGTTATGATGATAGCTTGTGATATATTGCATTGTTCTTATTGCCATGCAATTGTCACTAGAAATGAACCTAAAGTTCATTTTTTTTTTTTATGGAAACCCTAACCCTAACCTTAGTAGTGATTATTTTGTTTTAGTGGTGTATACAAGCTATCATGGCATCTTCCTCAAACACTACCATCCTAAGCTCTCCTTGCGCTGCCTGCAAGTTCCTTCGTCGAAAATGCATGCCTAGCTGCATCTTTGCCCCTTATTTCCACCCTGAAGAACCCCAAAAGTTCATCAACGTGCACAAAGTGTTTGGAGCTAGTAATGTAGCAAAGCTCCTCAATGATCTCCTTCCGAGCCAACGCGAAGATGCAGTGAACTCTCTCGCTTACGAGGCCGAAGCTCGTATAAAAGACCCCGTCTATGGCTGCGTCGGCGCCATCTCCGTCCTCCAACGTCACATACAAAGGCTACAGAAGGAGCTGGATGCAACCAACGCTGAGCTTCTTCGATATGCTTATGCTGAGCAGCGCTCACCAAATGTTTCAACAATGATCAGTCCAAGCTTGAGAGTCCATTACCCACATCCACCATTGCCGGCTCATGGATTATGGCCTAGTTTTGTCAGCTATCATCATCCTCATTCTCAGAATGATACTTGTAGCAACTCTTCATCAGGTGAGCTCAATCAAAGGGGGGAGTGGGAATGAAGCATGTGATTTTCATTAAAGACTTGGGTCGTGCTAAGTTTGATGGTGTGAGTTTTTTGTTTGAGAGATAAGTTAAGAGTATGTATGAATCATGTTGAGAATTGTAATTATTCTCTCCAAACGGTGATATATATATATATATATATATAGGTTTAATGGAGTTTTT